ATGAAGAAGACAGCCCTGACTTTGAGGAACTCACAGTCCCAGAAAGAAGCACGCATCGGGAGTGTAATAACTAGCATGACTTGAGCATCCACTATCTGCCAGGCACTGTGCTCGTGACAGTCCCGGATGTGTTAATAGCCCCAGTTTAAGGAGATAAGGCTCAGAGAGGTTAAGGTCATGCCAAAGGTTGCACAGCATGAGATGCCAACGTCCACCTCTTTGCCTCTAGGGCCCCAGCTCTTACCCATTAGGCCACAATGGCAGGACGTGCGTGGATGGGGATGTCCTAACCCACTTGGGCTAGGCAGTCTGGGAGGAGGTGAGGTCCACCCTGAACTTCGAAAAAGGGGCTGGGGCTCTCCAGATAAACTCGAAAGCCTCAGAAATGGAGGACGCAAAGAAAGGCATTGCGGGTGGAGGAGACGCGCGGACACAGGCAGGGACGGGGCGCGCTGGGCGAGCGGCAAAGGCTGACGGGAGAGACGGGCCTTCGCCTTCTCCGCGGCCCCAACGTCGGTCCCGCCACGCCCACCCGTCAGCCGCGCATGGTCTTTAACAGCCGTTGTGTTTCCCGTGCCCGTGGACTTGGATCTGCAAGTGACCTCCCTTTCCCCTCAGAACCGCGCCTGGCACGAGGTCAGACCTGGAACGCCCGCCAGCTGGGGGGGTGTAACGGGGAGAGGAGGGAGGCTGCGAGGGGTGTCCCCACGCTCTCCTCTGAGGGTCGGGGGCCAGGACACAGAGGGAGGGGAAGGGCGTCTGAGCCGGGGGCTGGTCAGCTCGGCCCTGCCGCATGGGAACTTTCTCTGAGCATGAAGGCCTGGCAGGAGGTGGGGCGTCTGTGACCTTGATTCTTCACGTGGTTTACAACGTCATGGAGGGGAGGGGCTGGAGGACTCCAGGGCCCACCTGCCATCGGCATTCATTGTGGCCTTGGGGGAGGGATGGGGTCGTCTGCTCTGCATCTGGGTAAACTGAGGCACAGAGAAAGTAACGCAGGTTCTAAGGAAGTCGTGTGCTTAGAGATGCACGTTCACCGCCTTCTCTCGGTTTTCTCAACTACCAAGGCCAAGGCGCCTGTGTGCTAAAGTCACCTTAGATACAATGTTTACTGTTCATCTATTACACAGTATCGGATTATCAAGCTCGGATAAACGACGATATCAAAGCCTCACACTAGAACAGAGCTTCCTCTTTAAGCATGGGGGCGCATCATGACAGAAGCATGTCCTTCTCCCGGGAAGTTGGTGGGGCAGGCAAGGCAGCCAGCATCATCTCCCTCACGGATGGGGAAACCGAGGCTCAGAGAGTTTAAGGAGCTGCCCATGGGCGGAGTGGCAAAGCCGGGATGTGAGCTCAGGTCGTCAGGTCCCAGCCCGTGGACCTCGCTGGGATATGGTGCCTCCTCCCTCTGGGACCTCGTTCAGAGCCACCAACATCCCGAGACTTCACCAACATCCCCGGCTCCATCCCCACATTCCCAGGAGCTTTGCAACTCCTGCTCTGTCCTGCTCCCTCAGCAGCGACCCGCCTCGCCCGCCTCCCCCCGTCCCCCCGCCATCTGCAAAGATGCCCTGGCAACATGGACCACACGGGTCACCTACTACAGACCGAATAGGTGGAGCAGTATTCCCCAGACCATGCCCTGTGTGTGTCCAACACCCCTGGATCTCTGGTTAAAACACAGCTTCTGCCTCAGCAGGTCTGGGGCGGGGCCTGGCACTCTGCATGTCTACCAAGGTTGAGGCTACGCTCCTGGTCCAAGGCCGAGACTTTGGGTAGCAAGTGGGTGGCTGTAGGAGCACTCCGAACACCGCCCGCCCGGCCTGGGGCTGGTGCTGGCACGCTCTCTCCAGGAGAGGCAGTGGGCCTGCCTGCGAAGGGCGGAGAAGCTTTTCCCTCCTTCTCCTTGGCCCTGCAGCCTCACCTGGCTGGCCCTCTCCACTGGGGCCTGGGACTTGGGGGATGGGCTCTCGTCTCCTGCAGCTCTTGCCCAAGTCTCCTTGGTTGAGAGCCTGTCCCTATTAATTCTTATTGTGCCTTTAGAGCCAATAGGTTTTTATTTATTCATTTATCTTGGTCTCCTTCCCCCGCCCCTTCCTCACCAGGCTGGAATTTGCAATTCAGTTCTCAGGTGGCCTTGCTGAAGGACAGAAGCCTGGCGGGGAGACAGGGTCTGCACCATGAACCCTGAAAAGGGCAGCCACCCCTCGGCCCCTCTTCCTCCCTCAGGGTGCTCCTGGGCTCACACTCCAGTGGGCTGGAAGCTGGGGCAGCCCAGCACCCGCTGCAGGTCGGGTACCTGAGAATTGAGACCCACCCCGTGATTGCTAGGCTAAGCGGGCAGAGGGCCACCTGGCTACCATTAGGGCGCCCCCTGGTGGCTTGTTAACACCACCTGCTGTGGCGGGACGAGTTTAAGCTGCTTGAGCAGAAACCTCCTACTTGCTGCCCTGAGACCAGAAATACAGGGCGTGGCATCCTCAAGGCTGGAGAGAGGCAAAGAAAAGGCAGAGACACCACGGAGGGCGTGATCACAGCCATGATAAATGAATAACAGCGACCGCACATGGAGCACCTACTATGTGCCGGCACTGCTCCTGCGCACGTGGCCTGGCTGCATCCTCCCACCAGCACCGCGAAGCGTTCTCTCTGCTTCGCAGAGGAAGAACACGAAGCTGGGACCCGGGAGGCCGAGCCTCCTGCTGGGTAAGTTCCCAGCCTGCCTTCTAGACAAAGTGACCTTGGCGGGATTTGAGCAACACCTTCTAATCTCTAAACCGGGATTAGAATAAGCACCTGCTTCACAGCACCCTAGAGAAGATGAAACGAGACTCGCACCGGACCTGCTTGGGTGGAGCTGCAGGAACGGTGGCATTGGGGGGCCAAAGCCACCTGGCTGTGACCCCTTCCTCCCTAGAAAAGCTGCCCCCCCCAGGAAGGCATCCCTCCACCTGTCAAAGCAGCGTCCCCATCCTCATCAGCTGCACCTTCGTAATCAAAGGCAGGACTGACTGGACGGCAGCCCGTAATGAAATATATAAGTCCACCAGACAGGTGTCGAGACACTGAAGACCCACCTTGCGGGAGATGTTGGAATTAAACTCTCCTTACCTGTCTTCTCAGGAGAGGAGGAGGAGGGGACGAAGGCCTCTCCCAGAGCTCAGGGCTCAAGGACATCTGCCTGGGCTCAGGCTAGGCAGCATGAAGACCATGGGGGTGACCGCCCCATCCTGGAGCTACACTGGGTTCTCTTCTCTGTGGGGGTGGGGGCAGAGCAGGGGTCCAGGGCTAACAGCATCTAAGCCAGCTTTAGCCAGGAGAGGGCCTTGGACTCCATCTGATGGTCATGTCCACCTCTCCAGCCCTGACTGGAAGCTGGTCCAGTGAATTATGATTTAGCTATCCTGCCCCCCACCCCCACCCCAGCACATTAAGGCAATGATTAATATTTAAGAGAAGAAATATAGTCAAGACTCTAATATGAGAGACAGGGCTCGATTCTGCTCAGGGACTGTGTGGAGAAGTCTTCACGTGTGCTGGGGTGGGCGGCCAGACTGAGATGTGGACCCAGAACTGGGCTCTCCCCTTGGCCTTGCCCCTGACTCTCAGGGGCCGGCCCCCTTGCCCACTCCTGAGCCAGTGAAGTTCTGGGGCCTCTGGTGCAGTGATCCCCACGACCATCTGGCCCCTGGCTCCCAGCCCTGTGCTGCCTTCTCCTTCTCTCCCCAGCCCAGCCACCACCCACAGTGACAGCCTCATGACAGCTGACCATCCACATGGGAATCTACCTTCCTGGGCTGACTGCTCTGTGATAGGCCCGAAGTGTCTCATGGATTGAGGTGTCCTCAGGGGCCTCGTGGGGATACCCACTCAGTCCAGCCATAAACCCGGGTACCCAGAGGCTCCCCGAGGACACAGAGGCAGCAGCCACCCCGAGATGACATAGAGCCCTTCTAGTCAGTTCCTGCAGCCCGGCTGCCCTGCCCGGCCTCCGGCCAGGCACGGGGCCTCCGGAGCCCCGTCTAGTGGGGAGGAGCCACTCAGCACGCAGTTTCGCTCAGTGACTTCAGAGCTAGATGTTTGAGTCAGTGCCACCACTTCCCGGAGTGTGACTTTGGGCCTCAGTTTCTCCATCCGTGTGATGGGAATGACAACAGTTGATTGCTCTGTGCCAGACCCTATTCTGAGCAGTTTACACGTATGAATTAACTCACTTACTCCTTCCAACGACCTAGTATGTGCTTTATGTGCCCATTTTACAGATGATGGAGCAGAGCTCCAGAGCCGCCACTGGTCCAGAACCCACTCCCTAAAACTCCTACTTTATATAACACAGAATCAACCTTGCTGAGCTGCGGGAAGGGATGACACATACTAAACTCTCAGCCCACGCACTCAGGCGCTCGCATAAATGATCCCTCCTAATACTCCTGTTGTTGTTAATATTACTTGAGTACTGAAGTACTCTGTGGCACAGAGGGATGGCACCAGCCACAAATACCCTCTGCACTTCCGTCAAACCTTCCCCTGCAAAGTGCCAACTCCGTCCTCGGCATACTCTGGCCTGGCAAAACTGTTTGCTGGGCGGGACAGGAGGTTTCGAGACAGAAGAGATGAACAGAGGTCGGTCAGACTGCAGCCTTGCAAATAGTACCTCGCTTACTCGCCCAGAATGCTGACTTCCCACAATGGAGGCAGGGCTTATCTTTGAGGCTGGAATTACAACCACTTTGATCTTCCTGAGAGGAGCCGATCTGGCGGTCAGCTGGCCAAGAATTTTCCCACCCCAGTGAATGATGTCATGTGACCCCAGAGTCCACAGGGTGGCCTTTGCTCTGGCACCTTTCCAAGGCGGGACAGAGACTTGATCCCAACTCAAGATGCAGGAAAGTCGACCGTGCATCTTGGTCCTCCCACTCCGCTCACTCATCCCAAGGGTCTTCCCCCCCTCCCACGTGGCCTGAGCAAACAGAACAGTGGTGGGCGGGCTGACTTACGTGGGAGCAGAATCTCTCCGGCGGGTCTCCGCACGTGATGCCCGAGGGCTCCACCTTCACCCTGACATAGTCCTTCAGGCGCATCACCTTGGGCTGGCAGGCGTAGAACTCCCAGGTGGGGCCCTCATCTGAGGTCACCCAGGATTTGCAGATGTCGTAGTCTCCGGAGGCCAGTGGGAGGCAGTGCAGGAAAAGCGCCAGCAGGTGCAGCATGGCTGTGCAGTCCACAGGGGCACGGCCTCGCGGGGCCCTGGGCAGGCGGCGGCTGGGTCAGGCGGGACTCTGGGCCTCAGCATGGAAAGGCCACATCTACCGGGTGACGGAGGCCGGATGTCCCAGGGACTCGGGCGCTGCCAGGTTGCAAAGAGTGAGGAACTTGTTTTTTCCCAAAAGGCCGATACAGAAAACTCAGAGCCAGCGTTTCTCAGACTGCTGACGAGCAGATCAAAAAGTCGCCCATCACTCGGCGCCCTCCTGACCTTGGCATTACACCTCTCCTCAGAGGTGAACCCGATCAAATCAGGCAGACTCTCAAATTGTGACCATGGATGGAAATGGGGTAGGGAGGAAATCCACAGGGATCTGGCATGAGGCCGGATCGGATTGCCTTTAATTCGTGTCCTTTCGATCAATCCAGGTCTTTAAAGGGCCCTTCATGTGTGATGTGCTCAGCACCACTGCCGATCAGCCCTCTGGCCTGCGTTGTAAAGAAAGAATAAAACCAGGAGGTGGACATGTTAGCTGGGAACGTGTACCCTCTGTGGGGTTAGACTTGGCGTCTCAGACCCATAAGAGAGATTTCTTTTCATATGGGCTTAAAGCAACAACAACCGTGTGGCAGGACTGAAACGTAAAAAAGCGACTGAGAGAGAAGCTCATTCGGCTCTCTTCTGGTGGGGACAGGCACTAATGGGGGTCAGCTGACCTTGGCCGGTAGCCATCGGCAACTTATTATGAAGTTTCTGGTACTTCAGCTCTCAGTGCATCCGGGTACCTGGGGTCTGGCTTGTCTTTCATCGTAAGAGGGGAGGAAAGCTCATTAGCAATAACACCTGCAACAAATTAAAGAGAGAGAGGGGAGGGAGATGAAGGCGTCGCGGGACAAAAGCTCTGGCAAAATGCACGGGAAAATGAGGCTGCCTCAGCGAGGTCTCCCGAGGAAGCCGGGCTGTTTTCGTGAGCATCAGAGTTGCACCTTTGGAGATCGGGCGCATTATTAAAAAGGTGATGCATTTTCTCCTCACTTTTAAGAGTGCCAGGGCAGCAGAAGCACCCCCTGCTTAGGGTAGGTGACTCCCTAAAACATCCCCAGGAGCCAAGATCGAATGGTTGCTTTAAAATGCCATGACCGACAAGTCCGAACGTCAAAGCTGTGAATGGCAGAGACGAGAGTGTCACCGTAGGTACAGATGAGACTGCGCGTATAGGTATAGACAGGTACACAGAATGGTCCACGCGAGGGCCGGCAGTTAGGAACCGGGTGCTGATAAGCATCTCTCCAAACTCTGAAACGCTGAATTTAATGTTTAACTCTAAGGAACTAGGGATGTTGAAGATTTTGACAGAAGTGACAATGATTTGTCAGATTAGATTTTCTGATGGAGGCCACATTCTGCAAACATACCCCATCTTTCAGGGGTATGTTTATAAATGGATCACTATTATGATTATCACTTTCCTATTTTAAGCGACTGGTAATTATTTAAAAGCCTAAATAGCTACAACTAAGATGAATGCTTTGTTGCAAAAAACACAACTCCAGTAATGTGGCGTGTTCCCAGACACTCGATACATTCCCAGCGGGATGTGAGTCCAGCCAGTGTGGGATCCTGGCCAAAAATACGAGCCGATAGGGCAAAGGTTACCGCAATGAGTCGCAGCAGAAGAGCCTGCGTTATTAATTATTCCCGTTATCATGCCTACGATCATTGCATCTAAATTCCCAAACCACTGCATGGGAGGTGCTAGCTTCTGCTTCTCACCTGACACCCCCTTCAGCCATTGTGCAGGGAAGGAACCTAAAGAGTTAGCTACGTTTCCATGAGACCCCATTCTCCACCCAGGAACACACACACACTCCCGCCCAAAATGACAAACCAGAGGGGTGGGCATCGTCCCAAAGGGGGACTGGCTTCTCAGCACCTCCTCAGGAGAAGCCCCCACGCAGTGCCGGGTGCTCCAGACTGAATCATAAATCTGCATTAAGGCAGCCCCTGCCCCTCTCTCTGGCCCAAGGCCTCTTGATGGAGATGAATGGGGAGCAAGGGCATCACATTTTCACATCTCACCTCTGGCTCTTAAAAGAGAAACGTGTTTCAGAGCCTGCCCGGCCTTGAATGCGCTGCCGGCTAGAAAACTCTCAGAAAGAACCCGCCTGGCGACTATTTTTACAACCTGAGAAAATGTAGTAAAAATAAAATAGCGCGGCCGGCAAAGGTTTGGATGCCTCTACCCAAGCGAGCTTCGAGCTTCGTGCCGCCCAGAAAACAGCAGGTCCCTAATTAATTCTTTCAGCCGCCGAGGCCAACTGTTCGCTAACAGGTAGGGCGCTCCTGACGGCCGCGGCACCAGGGCGCGGGGCTGCGGGCTTCCTTCATCTGCTGGACCGAAGCTGCTCGGGGCTTGGCGGGCGCTGGGCCGGCGAGCGCGGCCAGCGCGGCCAGCGCGAGGAGGCCGCGAGGCCCGGAGGCCGAGAGGCCGGGAGGCCGGCGCGAGCGGCGCGCAGGGCCGCTCGCAAATCTCTTAACTGCTTTGCAGCTCTGTTGGCCTAAATGCCACGCTTTCCCTGGAAAAACGGGGAGGAGGGGGCAACAACAACAGAATCTGCCGGGGGCGAGGGTAATAAATGTGTTTACAACTCGTCAATCAGTTGGCGTTCCCGCTGCCGCCATCGTAGGGGAATTGTGAACTCAGCACGCGAATATTACAGTCGGTTTTTGCCAAAAAGAAAAAAAAAGGGAGGGGGGAGACGGGAGAGTCCGCGGAATCGGGAGGCGGGGAGCGGGCGGAGGGAGAAGCCCGCAGGGAAATCTCAGAGTAAGGTTGCATCCCACGGGTCGTTTCCTCCCTGGAAAATAAATCTTCACCTGATATTATTAAGAAACTGCAGCTCCTGAAACAAATGGGATCGATGCTTTTTATTTTCTTTTAAGAGTCCTGAGGAGCCGAGGGGTGCCGATAGCCAGGGTATTAAAACCCGAAAATTAGATTTTACCAGGATTTCTGAACTCAGATTTCTCTGTCTTATTGAATTAGCGCCTCTCGGAGCTGCCTCCTCCCGGGTTTGCGGCTGCGCCCTCGCCTCGTGGGAAACTTGCCGCCGACGGCGCAGAGCCCCAGGGGTCACTGGAGGGGGGCGCTGGGGGCCTCTCCCGGGACCCAGCCCACCCCGAGGTTCCCTGTCCCTTCCCAGCGAGGGCGGCCGAGGAGCGTGACACCGCCTTCAGGGGCTGGTGCCTGCGGCCAGGAAGGAAAGGGGAGCAGCTCCCGCCGGGGTCACCTTCCTGCCCCCGCCCCCTCTGCCCTGGGTCAGGTTCAGCTGGCGCCCCGCTCACCGCGGGCTTAGGGAGCATCCCGCTTCCGGCGGCCCCAGTCCCCAGCCCTGGAGCGGGAGCCCCCTCCGGCTCCCGGCGCCCCCCACGCCCT